ACACACACACACACACACACACACACACACACACACACACACACACACACATACATACATACATACATACATACATATAATAGATGGGCCTATACCAATATTCTTGAAATACATGTATAGATCTAGATCTAACCAGCGTAGCCTTCCTGGACAACCCATTACATATTACCACTAGGACCGGCTGGGCAAGCACTCCAGATAACGCTAGGGAATTGGAGCATGTACATAAACCTAGCCAGGAGAAATGGGGAACGAAGCGACTTGCGTGTGCTTTAAACAAAATGTGGACTATAGGAAACCAAGTCCAAATTCTAAGACTAAGAGGGAAAACAGGCAGAAATAAGAAGGGGAAAAAAGAAAAAGAAAACTCTCTGGGCATAACTTTTATATAGAAAAAAAATAATGTGCAGACGCAGTGGAAAATAGTATTCATAATGTAATAACGCGACCCAGAAAGGATCGACCATAAACTTTATAAGCACTTAATGGGCCAGCCACGTAATTGATAAGGTTACTGGGCTTTGCGAAGGTAAAGGCAAACATAAGCAGGCTTAGGCATGTAAACGGATACCACAGTTCGGTTTTTTAAACTACAAATCTGTATTTAAAACTAACAAACCAGGTATAAAAAACACCCTTAGTTAATTAAGTATTCGAATGTTATCTTACTTACCTCTAACACGGACATCTTGTAGTCCTAAACGCGACACTTTTGGGACTTTTGTTTACATTGGTGACCGCGTTCACGATCAGGGTCGGAAGTAGGCGGGTCCCACCGCTAAACCGGGTAGATCCACAAGTTGGACTTTACACAGAACAGGAATTGCGCAGTATGAGAATTTCGCATTCTTTTCTGCTATTTTTATTCAGTAGGCTAAATCCAAAAGAGTGATCACAGGCAGTTTTCCTACCTTGGCCCAAGGAAACAAAAACTTTAAAACATTTTTTTTTAACTTTTAGAAATAAACTGAGGAAAAAAACCCGTCAAAACAACGTTTTCTAAAAACTAAATTTCGAGCAAATCAAAGCTCCTTCCCCTCGCCAAGTTCCAAAATTATCGCACAGCAACAGCTTGTTTGCGCTTGCGCCTCAAACTTCGTTCCGACTTCCCGTTCCTGTTCGGATGATTTGTGATGGTTTCTGATTGTCGATTGTAACAAGTACGCATTTATAAATCTCTCAGGTCTCCCTTTGTTTTTGTTTTGTTTCCTTGTTTATAGCTTTGTAGTGCCTGCAAGTCACAAGTTCAATGACTTTTATGTACCACTGAGTAAAACTGTACACAATGTATGAAGCACTCAAGTGAGAACTTCACTGGAACGACTGCATAAAAGAGAATCATCCGAATGTTTACCATCAACAACCAAGTCCAATGACATTCCTTATTCTTAGTTGCCTAACCTAATGTGTGTTTACAATTTGCAGTACTGTTTTTATCAACTTAGAACACAAACAACGTATCTGTTCTCTGTCCAAGTAGTGTCATTTGGCCTAGAGTAAATCAGTTATAGCCCTAGCAAAGGGAGGACTTCCATAACGAGCGACCACTATTAGACAGAGCAGATTGAGGGCTAGGGGTAGATCTAGGGATAGGGTTTGGGTTAGGGTTAGGCCTCTTCTTTATTGTGTTTGATGGGGTGGTCGCTCGTTACGGAAGTCCTTCCCAAGCAAAATAGCAGGGATACGCCGTTATTTGTACTAGATCTAGATTCGAAGTGGCTAGCCGTACTTATTAAGTACGGCTAGACTGCCAGTCTAGCCGTACTTAGATCTAGGTTTGGCCCTATCGACTCAAGCCTGTTTAGTACACAGGTCTCATTACATCTAGATCTAGTAATTATTCAGGTTCAAATACATGCAAGTAAGTAAGGCACCTTTCGGTTTTGTCTGAAATACAAAAATACTTTAGGCATTGCAAACTAAAAATTTCATTTACAATTCAGCCATCAATATTAAAGTACGGCTAGCCTGAAAGTCTAGCCGTTCTTAAGTACGGCTAGCCTGGCTGTCTACCCGTACTTAAGTACGGCTAGACTGCCAGTCTAGCCGTACTTATCTTAGGCCCTATTAACATTAGAAAACAGGAAGTTTAAAATACATGCACTGTCATTAAGGCACCTGGTTTCGTCTCAAATGCAAATACTTTAGACTTTAGGTACTGCACACTAAAAATGTATTTACAATTCAGTAGGCCTATTTTTTGTAAATGGTCAGTCTAGCCATCATATTAAGAATAAGTACGGCTAGACTGGCAGTCTAGCCGTCATTAAGTACGGCTAGCCTCTTCCATCTAGATTCTAGATCTAGATCTAGATCTTGAATGTCTTGATCTATCTATTTCTCAGCGATTTTGTAGTTCCTTTCGTTGAAGTGAAGTCCAAAGCTGAACACTGAACGCCAGAGACCCTGAAAAGTGAATTGCCAGGTAATCGTTGTGGAGAAAAATCAAAATTTAAGCCAAGAATGGCCCTTTTTCGGCAGTCTCTCCCCCCCCCCCCCCCCCCCCCACCCCCAATTATTTTTGGGCTCCAAGAGTCAAGAGTAGGGGGTTTTCAGGGGGCTTGACCTAATTTTATGGAAGGGGGGGGGGGGGGGGGGTTCAGGGCAGTGGGGCATGCCCTCCTGAATTTTTCCATAATTTGATGTTTTGCAGTAAGGTTGCATTCCTGTTAGCTTTGTGTTGCCTTCTATTTGGTCATTAAGACTTCTGGATTTTTCTCTGGATGTTAAACAAATGGTTGGTGGGTTTTAACGAACGGAACTACAAGATCATCTATTTCTCAAGCTGCATAGAAGTTACGAATTAGATCATAGATTCTAGATCTAGAAACGGATACGGCCTAGCTAGAGCTAGCGATTGACAACTAGAAATCTAGATCTAGAATCTAGATCTATATCTAGATTTTTATCTAAATCCAAATGTCATCGGTCAAAATTTATAGTAGGCTAACCTTCTTGTGTGACCTTGCAAGGGGGATGCCCGCTGCGTCTTCTGATCATGATTGTAAAAATAGTGATGATTTTTAATAGTGCGCGGTTTGCACTGGCAGTTTCCCAGCTCCTTCAGCAGTTTGCATCTTTTGCGTCCTTACACGAACAGTTTTCAAGCTCCTATTAGATCTAGATCTACATATTATTATACATTCTCCCTTTTTTATGCCCCCAATCCCCCTTTACATCACCACTCCACCCTGCCCCTCTTCTTCCTCCCCTGCTTTCTTCCCCTTCCTTCATCTTCCCTCCACCAGCAGCCCCCCCCCCCCCCCCCCCCCCGCCGATGCCTTCCCTTTACTAAACTGTCTTTTGTCTTTAAGTCTTCCCTAGTGCCTGTGGTTCCCCCCCTAGTACACTGCATAACTACATAATTGCACCTCACAGTATCCATTTTTGCAAACCTTGCAGTCTCAAATTACTCCATTTGCAGCTCAGCGTCTTATTTAGTCCAATCTCGTGTAAGTGCCTAATTTCTTGTGTTTACAAAACTTTAAAAGAAACGGTCATTTGCCCTGCGTCGTTGAAATTTGTTTGAACTTGATTTCGTACGTAGGCCTACTCTTAAGTCTTCTTCTTCTTCTCAGTTTACGTAGTGTATAGCATCAGAATCAATCTGGGCGGAAGAAGGGTGCTGCACAATCACAGACAACCGAACCGAACAGTTCTGCAAGTTGCAAAGTAAATAATCTGAGTCTCCAGGCTGCCGCCATTGCGGTCGTGTTGCCACCATGACTGACAAAGTGGGAATCCGTCAATGACATCAAACAAGATGTCTTTTACAATAAATATCGGCCAATGGCGTTTAATTGTCGTTCTCTAGCTGTCCGCTTGTAAGAAGTTAGAACCCTTTCAGTTTTGCTTTTGATTGTGTCTAGGTGCCTCTATACTATACCTATGAAAGCTTTCTAATGGTGAATCATGCAGAAAATAAATTTTGACTTCTTTATTGGCCGCCTGTCACTGTCAGGTGAACATGATATCAGTTCAGTCTTAGCTTCACTATCCACTGGCTTCCTATGTCACAGGCAAAGAATGTCTAGAAATCTGCTGGCTCTAACGCATCACACTATTGATTGGTGGTTAAAGCTGTGAATGGGGTTCCACTTACTTTTATCTTACAAATGCATTTCATTTCTCTGTCTGTTCTTGCTTTCATATATGGAAGTACTTCGTCCACTGTGAGTTGATAAAATTGAAATTCCTCTATGTCAATTTGTGGCTATGGTCATTACGCATTATTTCAGCCTTTTTAGAATACACTTGTCTTTTTCAAAATTCGAAAGTTATTTTTAGTGTGTCAGACTACCACTACCAGTAGCTCGTGATGACTTTTTGACCTCTATTTATTGTTTTGGTGTACAACCATAAAAGATAAAAAAATTTATCAAAGTTTCTATCGTGGTGGCGTAAAGTATTTTGAGGATGGATGTATCCAGATTGAAGGAGCTAAGTTTCCTCAGAAGTACAGCCTCCGATTGTCTGTTTTGACGATATAATTCACATATTTTGCTAGCCAGGTCAGTTTATTTTACCATATATATTGTAGATTGTGAGACCAGGAAGATATTTAAATATTTCAATTATTTCTTGTTCAATTACAGTGGTGGAACTGTTGGTTTTTCCCTTCTGAGATAAAAAAAATCATTTCTTTTGTCTTTGAGAGGTTCAGTTTTAGAATCAAAAAACAATATTTCTTTGAATACTCTGTTGCATCAGAGCTTATCAATCCAGTTATAGCGGAGTCATATCTGAAGATTTTACAAGTGTGTTGTTTCACATGTTTCTATTATCATTGTTACATATCATATACAAAACTGGTGACAAAACATCCTTTGTGACCACCGGTATTACAAAGAGTAACGCTAGATTTTTTTCTGTTCAATTTTCTTTAACTTTGTTTCAGCACTTTTCTTCATTTAAAAATGGATATTCTTCCAGTTGCAGTCACCCAGCAATTAGATGTGGGGAAAAGGAAGCCATAGCATGATTTATGATATCAGATACCCCTGTCTTTCTGATGTACATTTTCATAATGTCATCCCCAGTTACATAAAAAAAGCAATGCCACTAGACCTCAGAGGTGTCAAGTTTAGAGAGAGCTGATATGAGTGGGGAGCACGAGCATTCACCGTTATCATCGTCTTCATCATCATCATCCACACCCACCACAGTCATGTCCAGTATAGATGTGAAGCCCAAGATATTATGTGGAAGAGAGAGACCTGTGTACAAGCATGCACAACATGCGCATAAGGCTTTTGAGTCCTTGAATGAAATGCGCAGGTAATACCTTATTTTGAACTTTCCCTTTATCTCTTTTTAAAAAAAGATTATTAAACTTTTAAAAATGTAACTCTGTTTGCTTATCTTTGATGATTATTTTACAATTTGTTTGTTTATTCCATGTTGTGATTTACAGAAACAACACAATGCACCAACCATATTTTTCTACTTTTGTCCCAAGAATGGTGTAATCTGTAATATTTGTTCTCAAACGTTCTGGAAACTGCTACTTGAAGATGATATTCTCTAAAAGTATTTAAACGAAATAAATGTCACCCTCTCTCTCTCTCTGCCCTCTCTATCTTCCCTCAGACTACTCTCTGCTGTAGAAAAATGGGAGAACAGTAAGGTTAAAATGAAAAATCTGTTCCCTCTCCACATGAACTTGTGTCTGGCTAATATGTTTGCAGCTGAGCCTACATTGACCTTTTCATTTGCCAGAATGGGCCTGCTTTGTGATGTCTGCCTGGTTGCTGGGGATCTGGAGCTCCACTGCCACAAGTCTGTGCTCGCCGCATGTAGCCAGTATTTCTTCGCCATGTTCACCAATGAAATGTCTGAATCAAAAGCTAGCCGGATCGTGCTTTTGGAAATAGACCCCTCAGCCCTTTCCCTCCTTATTGACTTTGTCTACACATCAGAGATTCATGTCACAGAGGACAATGTACAGGTTAGACCAAAGAGGATTTTCTTTGCATAAAAGCAAGAGGAAAAGTCTGGGTTGTGGTGCACATAAAGTAATGGGAGTGGACTTCAGGGAATGCTAAAATACTTTGATTATAGAGGTGAATAAGGAAGTTGTCTCGGTTGTCATTTGAGTTTAGTTAATTATTAGTCAAGTGTCTTGGAAAAATCTTTTTTTATAGATGCTCAGTACATTTGAATAGGAGATTACCAACCAATAACTGGTTTTGATATCTAAAATTACCTACAGGAATTATGTCAGCTGATTGTCCTTTGTTCATTGTCTTGGAAGCACAGCCTACCTTATGTGGTACATATTGGTGCCTTCTACTGACTTGTAACTTGTAAGACTGCATTCCCATCACTGCTCACTTGATGCAAATTATTTTTGCAGAAAATGCTTGTTTAAAGATCTGTTGAACTCAGGAAGGAAAAATGTGTGCGTGCCTGAGAAAGGGTCCACATGAGCAATTTTTTACTTTTGCAGTTAATTGCATTTCTGTATAGAATAGCCTTTCCTGGTGCCTCTGTCTTTTTTTTTTTTTTTAGATATCTCAAATAGTTTTTAAAATATGTGTGTGTGCCCCAAGAAAGGTACCAAAAGTCGGATTTTGAACTTTTTGAGTGAAGGGTTGTGTCTTATAGTAAATTCAATGCTGAACACAGTGGGGTTTTTTTTATTTTTGAGATGTCTCAAGTAGTTTTACAGATATTGCATATATTGCGAGGTAGGATGTAAAGATATAATTGGGGGCTCTCGTGGCCTAGAGGTGTTGGCCTCTCATTCAAAGGTCCCGGGTTCGAATGTGGGTAGCGACCGGAAAAAAAATTTCTCTAAAATTGTCTCCTTTCATCTCCTTTCCTGCTCTCTAGCAATGTTCTGTTGTCTGCTTTCATTTCCACTTTCTGCCCCCACCCCCTCACCTCCTTTGCCCTCCTCTGGGCTCTTGACTCTTTCTGCAGCCTTTTTACTGCTACTCCTTGGCTACTCCTTACTGCTGTCTTTCTGCCACACCCCTGATCTTCTGGTTGGAAAGATCTACACCTAGCCTTCTCGGACAAGGGCGAAAAATCTCGGAGGGCCCGTGTGCAAGTTGCGCACATTAAAGATCCCTTGATGGTCTAAAATCAATAAGCGTAGGCATCGGCCGCCACCCGGGCAAAATTCAAAATTTCCCACCGACTGAAAATATTAGGTGTGTCCCGCGCGCTCACATGACCTTATGCAGTTTCAAGTGCCGTCAAACACTTTACAAAAACAAAAAAAGATATAATTTTGAGAAAATGAGCTTTTAAGTTAAACAAACTTGAGAACACTTACAAACTTGAAAAAAATCCATCTTTTAAATGTATTCATCCATGAAAAATTCATTTTCGATTTGCCATTCAGTTGACATCAATATCATGATTAAAATTCAATGGTAAAATATAGCAAGGAAGAGAAAACATGCTTCAAGAATAGATTTTAACTCCTTTTTAAAGCAGTTTTCATACTTTACCCTCAAAATGATTCAAAATAGAATATTTAGAAGTCAAATCAATGAAAACTCTTTTAATACATTTTTTTAAAAACTCATGTTTTTATGGAAACATATTCTGATTTCTATTAAAGTGATTTTTTGCCTGTAGCTCGAAATGTTCTAGAGCGACTTTTAGTACCTTTCTCCAGGCGCACACACATATGGTCACGTTTGTGAGTGAGGGATGCACCGACTACTTTTGAGAAAAATGTTAAGAACAACGCCATTTCGTAATATTACGTAATTGATATGTATTTTTCAAAGCTTTAAAAAACATACTTAGAAGAAAAATTGGCATAAAATATTTTGTGAGGATGAAGAAAAGTGGTTGATAAGTTGATATCCTTACGAGTCGCAAATTTCCTAAAATAAAATTTTTCACATTTTCCTAATTTTCTCTTTGAAAAAAAGCCTGTGCGATATGTGGACCCATTTCCCTGTCACGCACAAAAATGTTTAAGTTACTTGATGCACATGAGCTAATGGGTTACATGGGTGGCTTCCCATTTATGTGTATATCTTCTTTGGATTGGGGGGGGGGGGGGGGGGGGGGTTCTTTGAAAGAGGATGGGTACCTAATTTTCATTGCCCCATCTCTAGTGAAATTGGCATTGTTCAAAGTGCTTTTATTGTGACAAGGGGGGTGGCAGAGTAGACTTATTTTTCAATTTTTCCCTCGCAGACCCTGCTACCAGCTGCCAACATTCTCCAAGTAACAGAAGTGCGAGAAGCATGCTGTGAATTCCTCCAGGCTCAGTTGCATCCCTCCAACAGCCTCGGCATACGAGACTTCGCTGATCTCCATGCCTGCACCGATCTCTTCAACTATGCTCAGACGTACACAGAACAACACTTCACGTAAGGAGATATAAACACACACGCACACATACACACACATACACACACGCACACATACACACACATACTCACACACAAACCAGTTGTACTGATTTTTGGCATATTGTTATTTTGATTTCAAAAGCTGGATTGATTTTCTCCTCTTGTGCTACAGTTATTAAATCATAAGCACAATATTTTTGAGAGTCGGCTTCTTTTTAATTTCTTTGAATGAATGAATTTGTCCTGGTGTTTCAGAGATGTGGTTCACTATGATGAATTTCTTTCCATGGGTGTGGAGGCAGTGTGCAAACTCATTTCCAGTGATAGACTAACTGTTTCTTCAGAGGAGCAGGTAAAGTATAGGGATGACTTTTTTGTATATTTGTATTGTCACCCACAATGTACCATTTTTACCAATAGAGTCTTATCAGAGAATTCCTTGGGCAAGGTAGAGGTTTTGTTGTTTTTCTTTCTTTCCTTCCTCTGCTAAAATGTTTACAGTTTTGCAGCAGGTATCACAGAAAAGTAAGTACAGTTATGTCCACTTAAATCAAACACTGTTAATCCAAAATCTGCGGTGAACCAAATGAAAATGAAAGCCCTAATTTTTTTCCTGCTTGAGCAACCTCTTTAAACCGAAAACTCGGTTAAAACAAAGAAAATCCATCAGCCCTGCAGAATTCCATTTTTGCAGATGCCAGTGTACATAATTTCTTTTTTAAGGCTCAGTTTGGATTGTTGAAAGTTTAATTGTTAGGTCACCAAGGCAAAATTGAGATAAAGTTGTATCAAGAGCTGAGGACCTGAGGAGAGATGTGAACTTAAAATTTATCATGAAAGTTCAAAGTGTTCTGTTTTTATTTGTATGCATTTATTAGTGTTTAGTGAAAATATAAAAGCTGGGATGTTCGTTGATTCAGACCCATACACTGAATTACATGAGACAGATGCAGGGCACGAAGTTGTGATTTCGTTGCGCTAACAACAAATCCAGTACTAGTGCTAGATCTGGCCCTAAAACTACGACTCGGGGAGTGTTTGGGTACATTTTCAGGGTCCTAACTATCAGACACATCATATTCTGAGTCACTAGAACTAATAAAACGTGAAATTCTTGTTCATGCGACTTCTTCTACCGTTACTTCGACGCAACTGTCAAATTACTCTCAGTTGTATAGAAAAAACATAGCACGAGTCCCAGTCAGTTCAATCCCAGTTGGGGTGACTGTCCTTCATCTTTAATTACTTAAAAGTATCAGCCCCTGAGATACAAAACTAAGTCTTAAGTAGCTCTGGACTGGCCAAACAAGGGCTCGGGACGAATCACACGATGCATGCGTGATTTGTATAGCGAAAAAAAAATTCAAAGTTGATCACGCAGGGCTTGCGGGAAGCTTCATGAAATCTTGTACCGAAAATTGGTTCATGTCTTAAAGCATTTGTGAGGCAGCGTGGTGAAATCAGGCGCTTGTCAAAATACGGAAATGGGAGACACAGGCCTTTTCCTGCCAGTTTGGAAGTTTTTATCAAATTTTTTATTTTTGGCTCAACCTCTTTTATGTCATAAAAAGACATGTCCACGTGAATTTTCCAGAAAAACATTTATTGAAAGGCACAAAAAATATGTCATTTTTCTGTTTTCAAAGACTATTTAGCTATTGAAGTTACCAAACTTTGGCAGCCATTTTCTCGCTTATTTTACCACTGCAACCAGGCGACCTCACTTCCTTCAATCGCTAATATCTGGAGTTCTATTCAAATAAGATGGATGTCTATTTCATTGGAAGCAAGGGTAATAAATCAGCTTCCAGATAGTACCAATAACTCCACTTGCCTGATTCCACCGCATCATAACACATTGTTTTGTAATAATGTCTTCCCTTGTCAGAACAAAATTTACAGGTATTTGACATATGTTGAAGTGTTTTGTTGAGTCTTTGTGTTATGATTTGTAGGTATATGAGGCTGTGATGTCCTGGGTCCACCACAATTTACCAGCCAGACAAGAGTATGTAGAACAGCTGCTAGAAAATGTGCGACTACCACTCATGAACCAAGAGTACATTGTGCAGAAGGTGGAAGAGGAGCCCCTCGTCAAAGCAAATTCTAGGCAGGTTGACTTCTTTTTAAGTAAAATCAGCTCTGTCATTATTTCAACAATACCCACAGTCTAATTTTTCTTCATTTGTAACGGCTTTATCTATTTCACATTAATTTTTCACGTTTAAGTTGTGGAGCACTCTTGTTTACCTTATAAAAACTAATTGTGTGCTCTATCGCCATAGAATCAAACACTGAAGGTACCTTCAATAACGTATGGCTTCTAAAACTAAGGGGTTTGAGTTTCTTGAAAAGGGTATATCTTTAAACATTGCCAAATGTTAATTTTCCCATTTTCTCAAATTCATTGCAAATAAGGTCTAGCCTTGTCATACAATAATCATGCTTTTAAGCATGTGTGCACATCATAAACAAGGGTATGTCGAGAAAGAGGCCCAAGGCGAAGTTAAATCTCCTGAAAGTTTTAGTGCACCTTGGCTTTGGTTTTTCTGTAAAGCGCTTGTTTTTTTATTGCTATTTCCCTGCAGTGAGAGCTCAGTGAGATGTGGGTGACGATCTGGCCTCAATCAGCTTTACACTGTGCTTGTTAAATAACCAAAAGAATTGACACTGTAGATTCTTAACGCTACTGACCTCCAGGGTGATAATTAAAGAATTCAGTCATTTGTCATGAATTACTGTAGGGTCAGTGTCATCTTTTTTTTTGCAATAAGGGAAATCTGTCAATGTCCAGGTCAAAAGGAATCGAGATTAAAGAGATCTAAGTCGTATTTTAGAAAGGCCACTAGTGTGAGTAGGAGGGACTTGTGTACTGCAATGTTTGTGCAGGGATTTTTTTTTCATCGGAGGTAATTGCATGAAGTTTTGACTCTGATGTCTCCGTGGCTGGTAAAATCTGTTTTAGATTTGGGTTGATTTTTATTGGGTTTTTAATTAATGAAGTATTACCCTTTTGAAATAAGTTTTCTCTTATTCTAAAGAGAGATATGTTCATTTATGATAGTTTTTTGTGAATCATACGCTATTCTTTGGTCCTCCCTTAGGTGTAAAGACTACCTCATTGAGGCTATGAAATATCACTTGCTGAAAACTGACCAAAAACCCTTGTACAAAACACCACGTACTCAGCCAAGAAACCCTATTGGGCTGCCTAAGGTAAGTTGGGGTTGGGTTTTTTTCCTTGGTCCTTTCCTGTATAGGAGTAAAATTTCACTAGAAGACCCGTTTTTCTTGAAGGTCTTATAAATTTGTGATGTTTTGGACAGTAATGATAAGCAGTTTTGCCCTCAATTCTCTTAGTTTGTATGCACATTTATATTTACTGATTTCTGCTTATTTCGTGACTGTGTCATTTAGTGAATTTATTTTGCTCAAAAAATTGTTTTTCAGGTATTACTTGTGATAGGAGGCCAAGCTCCTAAAGCCATCCGTAGTGTTGAATGTTACGATTTCCAAGAGGAGCGGTGGTACCAGTTGGCCGAAATGCCTTCCCGGAGATGCAGATGTGGTAAAGTATCTCATATCCCTTTTCTTATGGAAAATAAACGATGTACTCCCTGAGAATTGGGTATTTGTTGGTAAACCTAGTCTGGCGGTAAATCAAAAACATAAGATTGGGTCATCCTGAGTCGAGTTTTGGTTATTTAAAGTAGGATGTTCCCCAACATCTTTCACTGATTTTCATAAAATCATTTTCTGAAATATATCTGGTGTACCTATTATTTTTTATTTTTTTTGTTTCCTTTGAAAGTTGTGACATTTTATTGTTTTTACGCTTAATTTCACTCATTTGTCCTGTTTTTACACTTTGCAAAGTGACTGTTATTCTATTTGTTAACGTTTTTATGCTGTTGAAGTACAGCTCTAAAAACTTGGCTTGCTCGAGGCCAAAGTATGAGCTAAGACCGTATGTTTTTAAGACCTCTGCATGCTGAAACTTCAAACCTGTTTCTCTCAGTTCGTGCTTTAAAAAAATCTTAGACTTCAATTCACTAGAACTAAAGTTCCAGAACAAATATCTTGGAAATTTAAAGCTAATAATAATAATTATAATGGATTGCATTTATATAGCGCATATGCACTCATGCAATGCTCTATGCACTTAACATGAAACATATTATGGATTTACAAATCAATTTTAAAGGCACATAGTATTACCAATGATAGTACATAACAAGATAGGCCACTCAGCCAAAAAAGTGTCCGCCGGAAGTCCGCTCTTTGCTTCAGATGGCGCTGCAGTCTGTTTTGAAGCTCTCTTTCGTTTTTCCAGAAGAAGAATAGGAATAGCACCTCCTTGCGTGCGCAGATCGACTGCTGTTCATCAGCAGTTCGGGTTCGTTCTGTGCGGAGTTTTAGGGTTTTTAAAAATTTTAATGACCTCTCGCCTTTCATTCTAAAGTCAAATTAAACTAAGAAAACAATCACCCCTTCCTCCGGAAGAGTTTTTTTTGTCAGCGCTATCATTTTTAAAAAAGAGTTCTTCCGAAATTTATCCAAAAACTTGCTAGTTTCACTTTGATTTTTTAAAACTCAAGTAGGGCAACTCTGTTCGCAAAGAGTGCGCATTTGCGAAGAGGGCGCCACCGAATTTTGAGGACACTTTTTTAATTGGCTCTAAGAGAGGAGTGGCCCCTCTTGTAATGTAGACTCTTTGGTATTACATACACATGCACACACCTACTCACGCATGCACGCAGCCACACACACATACATACAAACATACACATATACGTACATACGCACATACAAACTCACGTCGATCTACAGCTTGGATGGATTCTGTCTAATCGAAGTATTAGGAAAATATAAATGCTTTTAGTTTTTTCTTTAAAATTTCTAGATTTCCTGCTTCTCTTGTAGTTTTTGGAAGCCTTTTCCAAACAAGTGGGGCAAAATATGAAAAAGAGCGTTGTCCACATGATTTGTAATCTATTTTAGGTTTAACAAAGGTTGTTTTGTCAATTGATGATCTGAGCAGTCTAGGTGGTATATAGGGTGTTAAAAACTGTTTTAGGTAGTCTGGTGATAGATCATGTAAGCACTTGTAGCAAGTTAAACAGATTTTATACATGATACGCTCTTTCACGGGGAGCCAGTGTAGTTCTTTTAAAATAGAAGTCACATGATCATGCTTTAGTTTCTTAGTAATTATTTTGGCAGCAATATTTTGTACTCTTTGTAGTTGTTGTAACTGTTCAAGTAAGGATTGCAGTAATCATGCCTTGACGATATAAGTGATGTTATTAAAGTTTTGGTGACATCAACAGATAGTGTCTGAATTGAGATATAGTAGTCTCCGCCTAAACGCACAGTGCTCGGGAGGGCTCCATGAACCTGTGCAAAGGGAGGAAGGGACGCAGTCAACTCAATTTCTTGATATTCTAGTGACGTTTCTTGGAGGATGGGGGTCACTGATCGATAATGTGACGACACGTGACTGTTTTGTGAAGGATTTCCCAACTGCGGTTAAGTATACAAAAGAGGGGGGTGCAGAAAAACAGACTCAATGTAATCGGCAGGAACTAATAGCCTAAGGGGAAACTGTTGGTAATAGTCATAGAGACAACGGCCCAGCCACGTGGCTTTCCAAGGGACCACCCCCACCGTAAATTCATGGATGACATCAGAATCATAAAATTAGTTAAACAAGGACGTTATAAGTTCTTCGAACACGGCTGATTAGGCTTGCTTGACTAATCTATAATCATATAGAGGCCTATCTAGTGAAGTGTTTTACAGCATTCACACTTGTTGCGCATCATAGGCCTAGGTCTAACTACACATTACATGCAGTCACTCAAACACCAGTCAGAAACCTTCTTTCCAAGATGTATTTCCAGTGACCAATCAAAAAACATTTCAGTCCCCCATCCCCACAACATTTCACCGACCAGCCCTAGACCTATGTGTCTCGGGAAAGTTGGGTGTGAAAACGCTGTCCACCACTTTCTTTGTTCGGCGTGAGGGCCAGTCTCACCAAATATCCGGTTTTCTTGGCTTGTCTTATGCAGGCTGTGCAGATTGTAGTGAACATTTCCCTCGGTCAAGCTTTACCTGTCATTGGGTTTCGAAGATCGAAGTGTGATTTTAGAGGGAGTGACCGTATGTTTGTACGTCTAAATCATATAGTAAAATACCTGTGAGATGATGAAAATGTGTGTTTGAGCGGAACGTTCTTTTGTATGATGTGCGTTTAGGTAGAGACTACAGTAGTAGCAAAAGTCATAATGTCCAGACGTGGACTCATTCCCATTTCCTGCAGGTTGCCTCGCATATTCCCTCCTCAGACATATTAAATGGTCATCATGTTAAGTTAGCGTAAGTCACTACCGACTTACAGAGCTTGCTTCTGCTGTTTTTGATTGGAGTAAGAAATGTACAATAATTTGATTGTTTTGTTTTTTTTCATTTTTACAGACTATGTGAATAAACTTAAAATAAGGCAGAGTTGAAATGTGAAATTTTATGAAAACTCTGGTTTTGTTACTTTTTGTTAAAGGGCCCTACCAGTTATCCAAGTTCTTGCTATACAGATTTTGGGGGGGGGGGGGGTTAAAAATGTCTGGAAACAGGCTGCTCTGTAATTTGCTGTCTAATGTATGTTTGAATTTTCAATATGTTTTATTTCTTTTTTTTTTTTTAAATCGTAAATACAATGATTTTCTGAACAAAATTTACCAATATGTAACATGTTTCAGATCCATTTTGTGAGCCTAAACCCTAAATTGATGACTAGAGCCATTCTTGAGCTTGTAGCTGTTTGACTCGAAATCACATCCATGACTATTTGTTTCTTTGAAAGCCGAAATGAGTTGCGTGTGAAAGCTTTTCATGTAGTTAGTGATGGTCACATTTACCTTCACTGACATTTGTAGGTGTCGCTGTTTTGAATGGTCTGGTCTACGCAGTGGGAGGATTCAACGGCTCTTTGCGGGTCAGAAGTATAGACGTATACGACCCGTTGAAAGATACGTGGAACTCGTGCCCCAGCATGGAGGCTCGCCGCAGCACCCTGGGAGTTGCAGTTCTCAATGGCAACATCTACGCTGTCGGGGGTTTTGATGGTGCTGCTGGTGCGTTTAATGTTTGGTTGAGCACTGCCTCTCTCATGGAGCATATGCTCTAACTTCCTTCAAACTTGGAATTTTTATTTGCAAATTTGTCACTATAAATCAGAATGGTGACCAAGTACGTCTGTGAAATCTTGTGTTTCTATCTCTATTTTAACTGTTTTTATGTGTCTCCATGGGTAAAGGCTTTTTTGAGTCACCTGGTATATACTTTTAGCATTAACCTCCCCATTCCATTGGTTCTCTTGTAGCCTCTTAGCCTTTAAGCAGGAACAACTGTAGCTGCCTCTCAACAATGACAACTACTGTAACTTTAAATGAACAATAACAACTACTGTAACTTTAACTCAACAATGACAACTACTGTAACTTTAATTGAACAATAACAACTATTGTAACTTTAACTCAACAATGACAACTACTGTAACTTTAATTGAACAATAACAACTATTGTAACTTTAACTCAACAATGACAACTATTGTAACTTTAACTCAACAATGACAACTACTGTAACTTTAATTGAACAATGACAACTACTGTAACTTTAATTGAACAATGACAGCTATTGTAACTTTAACTCAACAATGACAACTACTGTAACTTTAACTCAACAATGACAACTACTGTAACTTTAATTGAACAATGACAACTATTGTAACTTTAACTCAACAATGACAACTACTGTAACTTTGACTCAACAATGACAACTACTGTAACTTTAACTCAACAATGACAACTGTTACTACAGCTCATCAATGACAACAACTGAATAAACTCCATTATCTTTACTTACAAAAAAAAATAACCCCATGCTTATTGTGTTTGCAGGTTTAGATACAGCTGAATATTTTGATGTGAGAGCTGGACACTGGAAGTCTATGGCCAGTATGAGCACAAGGCGGAGCAGTGTCGGAGTGGGCGTCGTTGGTGGTGAGTCACACTGCTTGGAAAATGCTGAAGAGTGTATCTAATAGGTTGTTTGTTTGGGGGTTTTTTGTGGGGGGGGGGGGGGGTTTGGGGGGGGGGGGGAGGGGTCCTGTCATCTCTATTTTCCCACATTAAAATGACCGTTATGTGTTTAGGCCCTTTCATTTGACTCCAGCATAAGGTTTTGGTATTGCTGTGATGTGGTTGTTTGAAAGGATGCATGTCTGAAATAAAACTATTTATATGTCTTTTAGTGGGCAATATCAGGATTTTGTTTGGTTACTTTGTTTCATCATAAAATGTATTGGAAGTATTCAATATTTTGACCATTTAAATTAATGCAAACATTAAACGACGTTCATTCAATGCATCATATTTGTGACATTGCTGCGTGGAGAGAGACTTGCAGCTCCTAGAAGAAGCTGGTTTTGTGTGATAAATTTGTACAAGAGAGTACTTTTTGCTTATTCCTGGAGGAGGATGAAAAAGAGCAATACCTGCTCGGGACGTTTTCTTTCTTGTTTTTCTTGCATTTGATCTGAATTTTTGTTCAGTGTCTTCCTATACATAAGTTAGAATGCCCATAGAGCTGATGAAAGGTGCATCTTCTTAAATTTAACAGGGTGCAGGTGTCTTAGTATTTAGTTGCCAGCTTTCCAGTTGTGTCAAGTTTCTGACAGGACGCATCATTTTTAGGCTTGTAGAAAGAAAACAGTTTATATTCAGATAACTTTTTTAGATTTTTCCAGCAGTGGGATATCTTTGGATCCTTGATTTTCTTTTTGACAATAAGGTTTAGATTATGAAAGTTGTAGGTCTGGTACGGTATTTATGTTTGAACCTTTTTACTATGGAGAGTGTAGCCCTGGTTTGAATCCCCAGCCGGTTGCTCTGAGTTTGGATTGTTTTAGAGAGTTTTTAGGGCTTTCCACCCTTTTGACTCAGTCCTGTCAGTGATGTGCGTTTAATTCAGAGATCCAGCCTCTTCAATAACCTTACAATGTTGAAAGGGGTGTAAAACCTATGCAATAACTATTTCAGTGACCCTCCTTTTTTGTTCCTTTTCAAACATGTCTGAATTCATTAACTCTTTGCGGCCGCAATTTTTTTCCTTGGACCCTCCCAAAGCGCCGGAATTAATTTTCTCAGGAGCGCCTATTACGATAGGGTACCTTATTTAAATTGATTCTGTTGCCATATTTTTTCAATGAAAGTACATATATTTTATACTATTGGAAAGGTAATTGAATGGGCTATCACAATAGATGGCTTATATGGTTCTTTCTGTTATTATGTAAGAGCAATTACGCAATACAGGGTATAATAACTGAAAAATAATTAAATTGGCTACTGTGATGAGTTTTATCCAACCTGCTGTCACCATTACCCTTGAAATACAGACTGACACTCGACAGAAATGTTTATATGTAAATCGCTTTTGTAATAATACCACATACGTTGGTATTCTAGCACATATCTTGTTCAATTATTTGGAGTAATTGAAATACTCGAAATGCTGGTCAGCCACAACCCAGGTCTCCACTGACAGTAGACTTAGACCTGCAATCAGCTCCCAATTCTATCCTTATAATAAATCTAGTACTAGCAGTAGTATCAGATTTGTTGACATTTTGCTAGTATACTATCTAGACCTTGGGGGCAGGTTATAACTAATGGATGTTTCACCTACTGCCCCTGATACAGTACGACGCCCACTCAAAATCTGGTCCGTTTCATCCCCGTTGTCAGTATCGTCATTGTCATTCTCATTAGTTGGAAATTACTATTGAAGTCTAAGTCAGTGTGGCTAACAATGTAGTCATAATAATAAAGCTTATATTAGTCAAGTCGACCCGCAAAAAGCTTTATGGGGCTTTTGTTTTGGGCGAACCGTTGCCCCAAGCCGTTGTTGCCATTGTAAACAAACGGGTTTGCTGTATTTCGATGGACACTTCAGACTAAAGAAACCACACAAAATTCTCTTTAAAAAGCTGACTAAAAATGAAACTAGTGGTGAAGCTTCCTGTTTTGACACAAATACATTCGGAATTTGCAAAATATTGCCGAAAATAGCAGTAGGAACCGTTCAACAAAACCACATGAAACAACGACTGAGTCGTTCTTCTGCGGAAACCACATTCAGCCGGCGACACTCCGGGCAGAATGAGTTAATAGAGTGTGTGTAAGGGTAAATATTTCAGCTCGATGAGGATGTTGCCTCATGTGTTAGTGTTATGCTTTGTCAGTCACCTGTGGTACCAACACGAGCCATGTATACACATAGCTGCGAAGTGCTATAGGCATCTCATGAAGAGACATGAGATGATGCATCTAAGTGAACTGATGATTTGTTTCATTTATTATTTTACATGTATATATCCCCAGGTCTTCTGTATGCTGTTGGTGGCTATGACGGCGCCTCCAGACAATGTCTGAGTTCTGTCGAATGTTACAGCCCACTGTGTGATGTCTGGTCAAATGTTGCAGAAATGTCTTGCCGAAGAAGTGGTGCCGGTAAGGTTGCGATTGTTCGTTTTGTGACTTTATATTGTATAATATATATATACATATATATATATATATATATATACACACACACGTACATACGATTGAACCTGCCATGACGGTCACCTGTACAAATGGCCACTTTCCATTTCCCCCCTTGCATTTTTTCTATATAATTTCTCTGTGTAAAACGGCCACCTGTCCAACACGGCCACAGCCACCATATTTTAACACACAAACCCTGTCCACCAAACAGTAACACCTGTCTTAGAGAGCCACCTTGGTGACCCCATTATGTTTTGTCATAAATCATGCATTAGCCCCTGACGTTGTGAGCGAGCAGTCAAAATTCAATCACCTGTCGTTGTTGTTAGGTAGTCTCTCCAACCAATCATGTTGTGTTGACCTCTCCCACTGTGGACCAATAGGTAACAAATTTTCAGCTGCTGTGATCCCTCATAGCCCACAAGCCCAGCCCCCAACTCGGACACAAATCGTGAGAAGAGTGGTCAATCTTTACCCAGTCTGTAACAAAGTAACTATGGACGTCATTAAAAACTTGCGACAGAAGTGTTGCTCGTTCTCCGAGTGGTGGCGACCCATGTGTTTGTTTTACCATGGCACTCGGTCTTCCTCATCTGACACATTTCGTTTTATTTTCACCATTGACAGAATTAGCAACAAATTTTTTTTTAATTAAACAAAAAACAACGAAGATAACAACAAAAATAACAACGAAAATGACAACAAAAACAACAACAGCAAGAACGGCAATGTGACTACCTTCGGTTGGGACCTTGGAAGTAAATGATTAACTTTCTTCAATTTCATCAGTCCTGTCTAAGACGGGTATATATTTATTTATTTATTCTGCCTGATTTTTACTTAAACTCTGTGATGTCACACCAGATACATGGCAGCGGTACTGAATCTGGAGTCAGGCTGCATGTATGCAGCATGGTTTGTATGGAATACCAGCAAACAAGGGATGCAATCATGATTCGCATTTGCTCTTTGACCTGTTTTGTGGCTCATGTCCTGTTAATAACGCAGAGACAAGAAAAATGGCTCAACAGAGGCACATGCAAGATGAAGTTTTGGAAATTTTTATAAATAAAGGCTCAGATCAGATGAAGAGAAAGATGTTGAGTTTGCTGAAGAGCTTGAGGAAAGTTCAGATGTTTCTGCTCTCCTAGATGATGATGATGTCCAGGCTGATGAACTGGAGGGAGAATTCGATAGATCTAGAAGTAGACCTTTGTCCTTTGGTTCAATCCCAGAGCCAGTGCTAAATGAAGGCACGGATGAACTGCTGGATCAAGGTCTAGATTTGGATCACAATATGAAATACAGTCAATCCTCTGTAAGACGGAATAGCAAGGGAGCCAGAAAAAAATTGCGTCTGAGACAGGTGAAGTAAGGGTGGAGGGGGGTTTCAAAGACCCGGCCAGTGGGATGAAGAGTCTTTTGTCCGGTTGGCAAGCAGTGGTCAAAACTTCACACCTCTCAACTGCTATCCTCTCTGAAAATGACATGGGTCAGTCTTACTTATCCAATTACAACCAGTGCTTGCATTTCATAAGACCACTGTTTGACCTATTGAAAACAGAAACGTTTGAACGTCTGCTTTGCTTCCACCCTTAGCCCCACCCATCGGTGTAACAAGCACAGTCAACCAATGCCGCCTCTCTCTGATTCGAGGTACTCTTTTTTTCGGCTGGCCGTACGATCAGGGCGGCAGGCATTGGTCAAATTAATTTCACGTCTCTGGCTTCTGGCTACCCAGGAAATTTCCATAGTGGCTTGCTACTCGAGCCATTTCACTGGCACTCGTGAGTTTTCACCCCTACACCACCTTGAACCCTGACCATCTGCATCGTTCAAGGCTCACATAGAGATGGGGTAAGGTCTACCCCCAAATCGCACCCCTACTCCCCTTCCTGTCCCAGCAGCATGACGTTTAGTTCAGAGCCGTAGTAACCAAACTTGAGAGTTTTGTTTCAAATCAGGGCTGAGCGGGCAATTTTTTTCCGTCTTGGACAGGTAAAACCCTCGGAAGGGAGTGGATTTTTTTTTCCGCTTCCACATTGGACAGATTTCCGTTTTATGCAGGTAATTAAAAAGGAATATCAAGGGGGGAGTAGGGAGTTTCTGTTAAGACAGGTTTCTGTCCTACACAGGTTTCCGTTAAGGCAGGTTCGACTGTATATCAAAGAAGGGCTATTCCATGAGCAATTTCTTGTTCATGAGTTTATAATGTGGAATGGTATACAATGTGCCTCTACAGCTCATAATTTTCATTGGCCATCTGTGGTTTCTGTCTGTGCATGTTGTTTTTTTCAGGTGCTGAACCACTATTGTTGTGTTGAAGTAGGCAGTTTAGTGAACGAGATCGGCTCACGGCGAAATCCGCTCCTCGCCGCCCGTAGAAAACTGAGCGGCGGATTGCGTAGGCGATTTGGTGACCTCAGAAAATCGCGAATTTGTTTCGTTAAATAATAATAAACCACTGCTTCCGATTCATGTTTTTGTAGATTTTTAAATCATCTGCAAAATGGCGTCTTCCTTTGGTAGATCTGACTACTAGAGCCAGAGATATTTTTAATTGAATTCAAGCCAAGTTTCAACGTTTGATATCTTTTTCCCCACTTGCCAGGCAGTTTTGTAACTTTTCTGGCAGTTAGAAATATTCTTTATCTTTAAAATAAGCCTAGAATGGCTGAATTTAGCCCTGTCTAACGGCGACTAGAGCCAGCGCACTTGATAGCGAAAGTTGTTTTTCTATAGGCAGCATCGGCGTGCCGGGGCTGGGCAACGAGTCGCTTTAGCACAATCCGGATAGCATGTTAGTGCTCCTCTTCGGCAAAGCCAAATGTTATGAACCGCTTCAGCAAATGGATCAGAACCTCTTCGACAAATGGGTTAGCATCACTTCAACACTAATGTGTGCACCCACTTCAGCAAACGGGCCAGGAAAGAGAGTTAAGAGTCTGAATTCGGATGTTTCATTGAGAATTATCCGGTTATCCGGATATGATATCCGGATTTTGCCCACCTTTAGTTCTGGGTCTTTGCCGCATCGCACTTTTCGCCTTCCTAGTAATCCTAGTCCTGGTTGTTTGGTATTTTTTTCTATTTAATATTTTGAATTTTTGCTGAACAGGAGATCATTGGAGCGTACCCATGGTATATCTGTTCACAGATATTATGTTTAACACTTGTTTTCTTTTGCCAAGGTCTGTGCACAGTGATTTTGACTTTGAGAAGATTAATTTTATTACAGATTCTAGATTTTCTAGAGACAGTTTAATTTTTAAAAATGATTTGGATTCTTTTGGCCCACAGTTGCACATATTATGTATCATGTATATTGTGCAGTTAGCTCTTACTAAAGACTAGTAAAGTCTTACATTCTTAGTTTTAGTCTTTGATTTTATATATATGCTAGCTTTTTCTCAAATTTCGTAAGCCCAAGTCTCTGTATTATCATTTATAGTCTTCATCACTTGTAGTTGATTTATCTTTTGAAAATTCTTTCCCTTTTTCCTCAAACTGTTCATCACTACTAGTTTTATGTTCACACAACTGTCTGGTCACAATGAAAATTACTTGGAATAGCATCTACGATCTAGTAGGCCTCTTATGTGATTTTCAATCAAATATTTTTTTCGTGCTTGATTTTTACCTCAATTTGTTCTTTTCTCCTTTTCTAGTGCTGTTTGAAATTTTGTTATCCTCTTCTTATATTCTCTTTTAAAAATGTGTTGAATAAGACGATCAAAATGATACATGACACATGCACTTCGGACTATTCCTTGTTGAAATATCATCGCTTATTTTCAAATTCATCCTTTTGCGAACACATGAAAATTGACCCTGCTCTTAATCTACATACCATGTTAAAGAGATTTAAGAGACAAAACTGTTTCTGTTTCTTTCATATGAAAGTACCCGTAATAACCTTTGATTTGAGGCAAAAAACAGGAAGATATCTTTACAGGTTGCGAAGTTATAATGTCAGACCTGCCACTCATCCCGATTTAATCGGGATATCCCGATTTTTTGTCCCAAATCTCAAGCATCCCGATTTTCCCGATTTCGGTCGGCGGTATCCTGATTTTTTGTCGTTGCATCTGTTGCGTCCGATTCTTTAAAAAAATACATAAAAAGTTCTGCAACCTCTTTTGCTTGGAAGCACCGATTGGACTTTTTATGGGCAGGAACTTGGAATGCTACTTTCTAAAGCATCTATGCCGATTCTAGTAGACGACTTACCCACGTGACATGACCTCGTAAGTGTGAGTAGCGCGTGTGTCGGGGACCATCGGCTGTCAGGGTCAACAAAGTTCATTCACACCGGTCGCATTGGTCGAGGTGTTTTTCGGGACCCAGTGTAGATGACCGGGGGGGGGAGAAGGGGGGGGGGTATTTTTTTTCATTTGGGCTTAAAGTGCGTGCCGTGATACAGGTACTAATTGAGTGGAAAGGAATAAGAAGAAATAAAAAGAGCAACCTTGGCGCGATCTTTTTTTCGGCGCGGGGGGGGGGGGGGGGGGGGGGGGGGGGGGGTTGCCTTGCGTGTATATGCGATGGAAGTCAAACATATGAAAACGCAGGCTTTTTGCAGCAATGTGTTGGTTATTTTCAAAACTACGAGTTTCAGGTTTATTGCAACCTGCGCGCCCCCAGTCTATCCGACTCCGACTCCAGCACATATATGCTGTCTTTCAGTTTTCCCACTGTTTAGAGGCCCAAATGTGAACTTATTCCTAAAAAGTTTTGTCTTGCATACTTGCCTCATAAAAGGGAACCAGGATCTCTCCCCCCCCCCCCTTTCCCCCAGTGCCCCTTATAACTGATTTGCCGTTGATCCCGATTTTTTTCACCAGATCCTGATTTTTTTACTCCAAAATCCTGATTTTTCGATTTCATAGAGTGGCAGGTCTGTAATGTACATTTTTGTCGATTTTTGTCCACCTTTAGTCACAAAATGCAGTGCAAAAAAAGGACCAGATTTTGAGCGAAGAATGAAGCAGAAAAAAATCCCATAACTCCTCAACCAATACAGATATTGACAAAATTCAAAAAGCACTGTGATCAGTGTGGCAGGGCCTTTCATTTGGGCCTATTTTCATCAAAATCTAACAACTTTGAAATTTTCACTGAACTGCCTAGTTGAAGTGCTTCACTCGGAATCTCTTTTGGATGAGCAGAGAACTTTTTTATATGTGTCATGACTGGTGGAATCAGGCGCTCGTCAATTTTTGGGCTTAAGGAATTATTGATATCATCTTAAAGGTTATTCATTTGCCTTGCTTTCAATGAAAAAATGTCCATTTACCTTGAATAATTATTTGCGATTGAATGAATATGGTGTCGCCTGATTTCAGAGGTAAAATTATCGAGAAAATGGCTACCAAAGTTTGGTGATTCTCATAGCTTAATAGTCCTTGGAAACTGCAAATTTACATTTTTTGTGCCGTTAATCAACAGTTATCCCCTAAAATCCACACATAAGTGCTTTTGAATGGACGTACAAGGTGTTGAGCCAAAAAAACATCATTTCGAAAAAATGTCTAAACTGGCAGAAAAATGACGATTTCTCGGATTTCATAATTTTGACGAGCGCCTAATTTCACCACGATGCCTCACATATTCAGATCAATTTGAAAATATAAAGACTAATATATTTTGTTTGTCCCAGGTGTTGGAGTTGTCGATGGACTATTGTACGCTGTGGGGGGACATGACGGGCCTTTAGTGAGGAAGAGTGTAGAAGCTTACAACCCAGAATCCAACTCTTGGTCTGCCGTTGCTGACATGCACATGAGTCGCAGAAATGCTGGTACGGACATTTTGAGATTTGGCTCTTGTTATGGAAGACAGCTTTCATTGGTGGTATTGTTTGATTATGTTTTTTTTAATCATTAGATAGAGCTTTGATGATGCTGTTCTTTGAAGTTTTCAACTTGAGTATATGATTCGTCACTGTTGGCTAGTTGGTGTGGTTGGTAGCTCAACAAAGATATGCACCGTGGTGGCCTTACATGACTGGCTGTGTTTGCATATTTTTCAAAATGAAGAAAAATAAAGAGGGCAAGTTTCCACTGGCAAAATTTGTATTTAAAGTTTGTACACCAAAGACCTCTTTTTGATGGTTCGGAATTTGAAATCACATGTTTTGTTTTCAAGTCTTATTGAATAGTTTTAGACTGTGTGTTGTGGTAGAGCATAAAAAAAAAAAAACGGAATAATTCTTTCAGTTTGTTGATCTTAGCAGAGATGAAGGCTTATGATGGTGACTGGCACTCTTTATTTTTTATTATAGTTTATGTCTTGTGTGTTTTGTTTTCTGCAAAAAATTGCTAGTTGATTTTTGTGAATTTTCATCATTGGGTTTCTTTTTACAGAATTTTCAGCACCGATTTTAATTAATTTTATTTGTGTACTCCTGCTGTTTTAGGTGTGGTTGCCAATGGCAACAAGTTGTACGTCGTAGGAGGCGATGATGGATCTTCAAATCTGGGCTCTGTTGAAGTGTATGACCCATCAACCAACAAGTGGACATTACTCCAGTCAAGCATGATGACCGGCAGATCGTATGCTGGGGTCACAGTTATAGAAAGGCCACTAATTTAGATTTTGTGGCTGGACTTGTTAGTGCATCATCCAGAACCTGATCACTCAACAGCCTATGTCTCATAAAGGTGCTCAAAGTATTCAAGAGAAAAGGATGCAATTTATGTCACTGCATGTTTTAAACTGGTGAGCTATATTTTTACAGAAATTTAGGCGAACTCTTTCCAAATTCATCTGAAGTAGCTAGCAGTAATGATGAGATTAAATTATTGTTATTCACACACAGTCACTCAGAGCTACACAATATGTTTTCATGATTATGGACATGTGAAGTTGAATGCAAACTGAACTATTTGTCAAATTGTTCACTTTTTACCTTTCAACTTTAAGAAAATTGAAGTTTTAAAATAGACCGGCAGTGGCTAGATTGCAAATTTATGCTTGCGTTCACATATCACTATCCTTTCCATTTATGCTGTAAGACAAAATATTTGCAGAGTTGCTTATGTCGGGTTTATGACTCGTCTCTTGCTTGCATCATATGTCTACAGTTGTTTTTTAATTGACGTAATCCTGTCATGGCGAACATGCGCACATTTCACCTGCTGGTGAAGCCTCGCACCCTGAATAACAGAAGCATAGTGTTCACAGATACATGCGAAGAATGTCCAATGACTGTGCATCAGTGTGAATAAAACTGTCCGTGCCACCTTTTTGAGTATAGTGACGCTATGTGTAGAAGTGATGAGAAATGTTTAAATTATAATTTCATAACTCTTAAAAATATACTTAGTTTCAGTTTCAGTTAATAACGAAAAACTTGGATTGCTTTATGTTCTTTAATGAAAGTGATAATTTTAGTTATATACAGGATATAGGTTGTTGTAAGGTTCTTGAAAGCAAACTTAGAATTGTTGCAATTTAAACTTGTGAACTCTCAGTCTTAATGGTGGATTTAGCTCTCACCTTACTAGACTGCTCATCATACATGCAGCTGTATTGGAAACTGTCAATGTTGCTGGGTGATCAAATAAAATTGATCTGAAGGTTTCCACAGTTTCTGAAGGTTTCCACAGTTTTTGAGAGAACAGTGCTTTTGTTGGGTTGGGTTTCAGCTTTGTTGGTTGGATTGTGTGTGTTCATGTGCACGCGATAGAGAGAGAGAGAGAGGGGGGGGTGATGCTTTTTCTACATTTGACCATGTTCAATGTTCATATGTAGGAGAATATGTGTGAATGGCCTTGTGTTTGTCATGCTTGTTTTGGGGTGGAGTTAAGTTGGTGAAAGATGTTATGTGTGTAGGGGTGATGGTTTTTTTAAGGGAAAAGATAACAGTTATGAAGGTAGCATTGAAACATCTGTATTTTCTCTGTGTGATTATTGAAATGGAACTTTTTAAAATAGCCAAGTAGTTTTTGTGCTCGCACATAAAAAAAGAACTAGATCTATAAGAACACTGATTCTGTACAGCCTTTTCCTTTCAGTGTGCCCCATTCTGTTATAGAACTCTTTGAAATTATCAGAAATAAAATCAAAACACATGGAAACAGTAACTCCCAGCTCATCATATTTGTTTGTATTTAAAAAGTCAAACATCGAAGACAGTGTCATTTTTATCATTTTCCTCTTGTGACCACTAATGTTATTAGATAGTAAAATATAATGCTCTTCAAACTACTATAATTATTATGCTCTTCTGTTGATATGTAGCAAACTCTTTCTTTCAGCATTTGCTATCTGGAATTAACTAGAACAATGCTGCTTTCGCTCCCAAATTTCATATCTTGTGCGTAAAAGAGAATATAGGCCTGGCCTAAAGTATTACTAATAAATATGTTGTTTATAAAAGTCTTGAAGAACTGCTTTTTCTGTTTATCTTGTTGAATTTTGGGTTGAGTTTCTTTTACAGTCTCTTGGTTTCAATTGTTCTGAAAATCAATCCTCTATTGAGAATATATATGTGTGGCATCGTGGTGAAATTAGATGCTTGTCAAAATAATTGCCGTTTTCCCACCCTTTGGGCAAAGATTCAATTGAAAAATGTGTTAGTTTGTTGGAAAGAGAATGTCTCTTTATGTAGTTTGAACAATATAAGAAATGTTGCTCCTTGTCCATGATCTATCTTTCTTTTATCTGCATTATTCAGAGTCGAGCAGCCAGGCATTGCTTCCTGTTTTCACATTTGATAGTTACTCTTTTTATGTTTATCAGCTGTTCATTCCCTTCATCCTTTTTCTTTGTCCTTAAAGCTCTAGTGGCTGTTACTGAAAGTAAGGTAAGGGATAAAAAGCTGTATCTTCATCGAAGACAAGGGGAAAGGTCTTCTGAAGTGCCTTGGAGTCTAAAGGCGTATCGAGACCCCACATATTTGTTTTCTTAATAAAGAATTATCTTTGCATTGTCTTCTTTTTTTTTCTTTCTCTCTTTCTTTTTTTTTAAATGTAATTGTTTTAACTAAGTGCTCCAAATTTTCTCTTTTACGTATTTGATTATATTAATTTTCCCTACAAATTGTTGTGCAGCAAAAGTTGTTTGAAAATAGAATAGGTTGTCAACAGTAGTGAAACACAAATAAAACAGCTTCTCTTTTGTAAGCAGGTACCCTGTATGTCAAGGCATTAGGATTTTGATCAACTTAGTGACTCTTTACATCGAAGCTTTGGTCCAGATTCAGTACTTTCAGAATTTCAGTTGTAAAAGTGCAGACACGACTAACTTGGAAGGTTGGTGCAGTGTTTTCATCTCAGTTGAACTTTGTGCATATTTTGTTGTTGTCCTGGGGTTGGGGGGTTGTGGCTGTTTCAAACTGATAGAGAGGGAAAACAACAATGCTGTCATGCCTTCTGAGTTTAGCCCCCTCACATTCTGTAGAAGAATCTTACAAATGAGAACAAAGTCTTTCTCTCTTTCTCTGCCAGTTCTCTTTTCTTTTTTTTGTCTTCTCCTGTTTCATGGGGAAAGAGGAGTGGCATCTGCCAAAATCCTTTTATGATGTACTTTTGCTTACCTAAGTGCAATATATGTATTTTTGTTGTACAGTTTTGTTGTTAAACCATTTGCTGTATTAGTATGTATGAACTATTCAATGCTTTGCATGTCAGACTTTCAAAGGATGTCTTTTGCAGCTGTAAACCTGCAAAAAATTGTCTATGCTTTTTGTTTTCATTAGTCATTCCCCTCGGACCTGCAGTGACCAAAAGTTAAGAGGATCCTTGACTCGTGTCAAATTTTCCTTTATATAGAGTGATAAGTGCCAATTTTTAAAATAAGCGTGTTATAGCTGTTTTGTTGTGACTTTGGCAAATGTGTGCGAAATCAAGATTTAAATCCATTCTTTTTTAAAGCTGTTCTCTTTCCTGGCGCTGCTATGGGAAAAGGAATTTTCTTCTTTCAGAATGTCTATTGTGTCTAGTCAGGCAGTAAAATCAAACACAAGCAAACAATTTATTGATATGGCATTAGATGTCACTTGAAGAAGACAGCCGTCAGTCAGTGTTAATCTGACTTTCTCTGTGATTAATGGAAAATTCAAATGCACATAATCTTTTCACTGATATCATGTATAGCTGCTAGGTTTCTTGATGAATTGAGTAGCTCCAATAAGCGATTGGAAGCTTTCAGTGTATGCTTTTGTCTTTGTTAATGAACTGGACCAAAATGGACAAATCTGTGTTCCAAAGCTTGCTTGTGATATTTATTCATTTTCCTTTGCAAGTTTTTATTGTTGTGGTTGTCTGTGTTGTCTAACCTTGCTTCTGTTTTGTTTTTTGGCATTTTTTTCTTTTTCTTTTTTTGTTTCAATTGGATCTCTTCTCTGTAGGAATTATTTACATATTTGAACTGTACATGATACAAGTGTTGGAATGATATTTAATATGAAATATTTTAAATTGACTTAACATGAAGTATTAGAAAATGTTACTGTTAGTATGCTGTTTGTCTTGTGAGTTTTAAGGGAAAAACTATCCTTTTTTTTTTTTTTTCTTTTTTTAGTTCAAAGAGCTTTCTCAGCAATGAATGTTTCTGCAGGGTGATTATGAACATCTGGGCCATTTTAATGCAATTTGTTTTTTAGAAATATGTACCGGTATTGCTCGTTGACACAGCTCTCATACCACCTTGAAATAACTGTTAGCATAACTGAGATTGTCTTGTGTACATGGTGATAGTTGGGTGTTGACAATGGTTGAGGGTAAGATTTTCTTGTGCCATAAAGGCTTAAGCATGATTGAATGTTTGCATTGATATTTGGTTCGACATAGGACTTGGTCTGGCATAAGCAGACACTCGCTGCCCATATCAAACACAGGCAAAGCTGCCAGGAGTTGTGACTTGACTGTAAACTCCAATAGCACCCTGTCGAGATGATAAAAGATGAGTGTCACTGTTCTTTGTGTATAATTAAAGGCTTGACTGATAATGTTATTGACTCTAATGGGACCCATTCTTTTAATTTGTGAGTGATAGAGGAAAGGGTTATTTTAGAGAAACAGACAGTGTTGACCATTGGCATGGTATATCATTTACTTTACATTGGTTCTACTTTTCCCAATGAAAAAAAAAAGCATTGCGTCTAAGGGTTTTATTCAACATTCACACATATTTCTTGTGTCCACATTTTTCCACCATTTGCCTCAAGAGCAACGGTGGACAGCATTTTCTTTTGCTGTGGCTTACTGAAGCTTCATTGGCTTTTTTTATTTAGATAGAACTGGATGGTAGTTGTTAGTAGGGAATGTAGATTTAATCTATGCTTGTGCTGTGGTTTCTAATTTAGCTGTTGAGACAAATAGTAACATTTGAATAGTTTCATCCAATGTTTTGAGTGCATGTATATTTGAGACTCCCACATTTCTATATATTTCAGATTCAAATTCAAGTTTGTTGGAAATTAAATAAAATAAACACTAGAAATAAAAAAACGACAGCAAGGCTATTGTGTTCTGAGTTCTACATGGTTGGTGTATCACGGTTCCACCTAATTCATCAGTCTGCTATAAGACCGCTGTTATGATGAAACTAATAATTATTAGGTCTTTATTTTTCTATTCCTTTCTGGAACACCGCTCCACTCCAAGGGCCCTTGTGAGTTGTTGCTCTTGCATGGAAAGGAACTACATTGTTTATATTGACCTGTTGGATATTATTATTGCATCAAGAAAATAAATTTACAATGGAGAAGGATGACTGAAATGCGGATGTTGTGTTATCATTCTGCTCAATGTTGGTCTGAATAGATTCTCAAAGTTTGGTCAGGTCGTCGAAAAGAAATGTATTTACACACAGCAAGACTTCTTTGTAAAACAATATATTTGGTACAGCTCATGTCCTCTTTCCTTTTCTGTTCCACTATGACTTATGTTGGGTTGGCCCTTTTTTTAAAATTAACAATAGTTTTCATATATATATCCAAACTTTTATCAAATTTGGCACCTTTCATGTAAGGCGAATGTTTTATCAGCGAAAGTGACACGGCTGTTATGAACTTACCCAACTCACGAAAAGTCATAGTTCAAAGCTAACAAGACAGATCCCTGTTGTTCTCTTCATTCTCAGAAAATGTTTTCTCCTCTGAGCCCGGTGTTCTGAGGGACCATGTGTCCAGCTTTCGTTTTGACCAACATTGTGTCTGCAACAGTTTTATATCTTATCTTTTATAAGAACTGATCATGAGTGGTACTCTAGCCTTATGCTTTCCTCAGTAAAGGATGGAAGGTAAAAGTAAATTTAGCCCCCCCCCCCCCCTTTCTAAAAATAGTTTAAAGCATCTTGTGTGCATAACAAATGGAGTCCCTGAATGTGCGAAATAGGTACGGGTCAAGTAAGTAGCGAATGGAGGGCTGAGGATTACTTTTATCGACTGAAATGTTGTGTAATGTTTTAAGTTCTTTTTTTATTTTGTTTTGAGGGAAAACGCTATTCAACTGTGTTGTGAAGTGGCCCTTTCCCCTCGCTGGTGAGAGGTTAAGGATAGTCGACAAGTATGATTGTTTCAAAAGTTGAGAAGGAACCTGCTTTTCTCACCTTTTTTTTTTACGTGCGGGTGAATGTTTAGACAGTGCAGTGTACTTGATTAGATACATCCTGTTGTTAACAAAGGTTAAATCATGTTCTACTCATTGATTAATAACACGTTTTTATTGAATAAACAAATAATTCATTGTATATCTGTCATAGAGTTTTGTTGGGTTTTTTTGTTGTTCTTTCATGTTGTTGTTTTTCTTGTGTGGGTCTGAGAGTAGCGCTGGTAGGTGTAGTTTCTTTTCTGTTATGTTATGTTGCGCTGTCAACTCAATATGTATCGCGCTGGACAGTGGTGCAGATGACCCAAGTTTGAATCCCCAAAGGAACATTCTAGACCTTTCTATCCTCTCAATTAGCTTCAGTCTAATCTTGCACTTACAATGTTAAAAGGGACTTTGATCCTATACTATAATAGTATGCAATGTCTTTATTCATTCCAGCTTCATAGTGCCCAGACGAAAGAACTTTTCGCCAGATTGCCATCTGTGATGTAATGATTAGGCTCATCACCGTTGTAAGTAGAAGACATAAGTTTGATTCTGATGCAGGAAAGTGTAAGTTTTACTTTAAATATTAAGCGTTTCAGTATTTTTAGTCGCATCTCTTACTACATGTATTAGGATGACCAGTACTATTCAGCATTCTGGCCCTCGAAATCATCTGAATTGTGTCAATCAAGTCAATGGAGATGTAGACCATTATTTACAATCATGAATATCATGTTTTTTGTGGGTCACACACTTTGCCACAGCTCTTTGGTCGGACTCGATAATTATTAAATTAACATGGGAACTGTTACAACATTTCTTTGGGTTTTGCTTCCTCCGTCGACATAGCGTAGATTGTTTTACCTGCATTTCTTTGTTTGAGTAAAAATTTAAAAAGAAGCACATCGACACGGTGACGACCTCTCGGTGTATGCAGGGGAACAAGTGAGATTGACGGATAGAAAAGGAGGGAAAGGAAAGAAGTATACATTATAGATACATGTTAATAATATCATTATCTACATGTATATATAAATATGTTCCGAAATTACATGTAGCATTATGCATACGTATAAGTATAAAGGGAATGGTTTATGGTCTTTCATTTTCATCAGTCCTGTCTTAAACGGCCACTTTTCTCCTCGACAACGATTGGCCGTCTTACACAAGTTCAACTGTGTACAAATGTATCACACACACACACGCAAACACACACACAGGCACACATTGTGTGTGAGATGTGTGTGGAGTAAGGAAAAAGCAAAGAAGCAGGAAAGAGACAATAATGTAGGCCTACGAGGAAGTAAATTTCAAAGTAGATTTCTGTTAAAACCTGAGCGCTCACAATTATAGTACATAATATACGGGAACAGAGCACTTGAGTGACTGCTGTTCGTAGTGATGTGTACGTACCGGTTATGAAATCAGGGAGCTGAACTCGGTGAGTGAGTTTTGTCGCTTCATGAAGTGCTTGCAGCTGAAGGGAACGCATGCACTGAGTAATGAATGAGTGTGTATGTGTGTACTTTGTACTTCGTTTTCTTTTCAACTTCGGGGAAGTTTAAGTTTAGGCATATTTACAGACGTACACCTGTGCCAATTGATGTGAATTGAAAATTGGAAGCTATGAATTTTATAATAATATCTGGACACCCCCCCC